AACTGGACCACACATAACAATACAACAACACTGTGTGCCAGGTACTATTCTAGGGGGTGGGGTGGTGAACAGAACAGTCGCTGCTCCTGAGACAAACAATAAACCAACCAACATATATAACATTGGATGGTGTTAAGTGCTATGAGGGAGAGGGTTAGTTATTGCTGTTGTCTGCCATGGAGTCACCTCCGACCTTCAATACAAACAAAATGAGAGTCACCCAGTCCTGTGCCATCTTCATGATGGTTGGTATGTTTGAGTCCACTGTTGAGGCTACTGTGTCAGTCCATCTCATTGAAGGTTACCCTCATTTTTGCTGATCCTCTACTTTACCAAACGTGATGTCCTTTTCTAGCAATTGGTTTCTACTGATGATGTGTCCAAAGTAAGCTAGTTGAAGTCTCACCATCATTGCTTTTACGGAACATTCTAGTTATTTTTCTTCTAAGACAGATGTGTTTGGTTTTTTTTGGCAGTCCAGGGTATAGTCAGTATTCTTTACCAACACCAATAGCAACACCACAGTTCGGATTCATCAATTTTTCTTCTGTCTTTCTTTTCCATTATCCAACTTTCGCATGCATTTATCGATTAAAAAAACATGTATATATACATATGAGATGATTGAAAAGACCATGGCTTGGGTCAGACTCACCTTAGTCATCGAAGTGACATCTTTGCTTTTTAAAACTTTAAAAGAGTCTTCTGCAGCACGTTTTCCCAATGCAATACATCATTTGATTGCTGGACTGCTGCTTCCGTGGACACTGATTGTTGACCCAAGCAGAATGAAATAATTGACAACTTCAGTTTCTTCTCTGTCACGATGGAGGAGAGAGTGCGGGGTGTTACTTATAGTGCTCCTACAGGGAGCAGTGATCTGTAGGGAGTGAGGTCTGTGTATAGAAGGGCAGAGAGATCAGCAAGGACCAAGGTTCTGAGGTGGGAATATGCTTGGTGAGCTTGAGGGACAGCATGGAGGCCAGCCAAGGGAGAGCCCTGAGAGAGGAGAGGGCAGGAGGTGAGAAGTGAGTGGGGGCTGTACAATCTGTATCTCTGATAAAAGTGGGGCTTTGGTTTTTACTCTGAATGAGATGGGAAGCTATTTTTGGGAGGGTTTAGGGCAGAGAAGGGATGTGGTCTGACATTTTGAAAGGATCACCCTGACTGTGGTGTGAAGACTGTAGGGGCCAAGGGCTTAAGCAAGAGACCAGTTAGAAGGTGCAAGAGATGACGGAGCTCTGTCCAGGGTGGTAGCAGTAGACATGTAAAGAAGTGGTCCAGTTCTAGATAAATTTATAAGGCAGAACTGACAGAATTTTGCTGATTTCTAAGGTTTCTTTCTCAAGCAACTGGAAGAATACAATTTGGTGAAATGGAAAAGACATAAGCAGGAACAGGTGTGATGGGATGAACTTAGGAATTCATTCTGAGGCACATTAAGTTAGATTGCCTGTTAGACACCCAAGTAGGAAGCTGGATATAGAAGTCTGGGGCTCCGGGGAGAGGTCCAGGCTGGAGATATAATTTGGGGAGTCCTCAAAGGTGGTAAAATCTCAGTGAGATTCAATGAGATCGTTTATGAATTGAGTATTAATAAAGGGCAAGGCCAAGGATTGAGCCTGGAGCCCCCAGTATTGAGAAGTCAAGGAGATGGCAAGGAGCCAACAAAAGAATCTGAGGAGGAGAAACCAGTGTGACAGACAGAGACCCAAGGGAGCATTGTGTGTTGGAAGACGAAGAGGTCTTTCAAGGAGGAGGATGGCTGAATTCTGCCCAACACAGCTAATAGTTCAAGTAAGGTTAGTACTGGTAGCTGGCCATCGGTTTAGGCACAACATAAATGACAGGTGACCTTGGTGAGAGCTGTTTCATTGGAGAGGTGGGCAGGCAAGCCTGATTGGAGTGGACGTTAGAACGAATGAGACCTAGAAAGATCTCTAGAAAGAATAAGGCACTTGAAAGAGAGACCATGAGTGCAGACAACTATTTCACAAAATTTTTTTCTAAAGGGGAGCAGAGAAATGAGATGAAAACTGGAGGGGACTGTGAGGTCAGAACTGATTTTTTGTTTTGTTTTTAGGATGGGAGATATTACAGCATGCTTGGACACTGATGGGAAGGATTCAGTAGTGAGGGAAAATCTGGTGATGCAGGCGCTAGGGGTGAGGGGAGGCATTTTTTGGAGAGGTGTCCTTGAGAGAATACAAAGAGAAAGGCACAGTGCACACACAGAGGGACTGGCCTTGGATGGCACCCAGGTGTTCCCGCCCAGTAGTAACAGGAGGGCAGGCCAAGCATGGGCACAGGGGCAGGGAGGCAGGTAAACATGTTGCTGGGAACATGTGCAAGTTCCCTTTTGAGGGCATATATTTTCTCGGTGAAACAGGAAGTAAGGTCATCAGCTCAGAGTGTGGAGGATGTGGAAGTGTTGGAAGTTTGAGGAGATAGAAGGTGTAAAGAAGGGCCAGTCGGCTGGGCTGGTATATGTTTTTCATCAGCCACCTTTTGCTGGGAAGGTACAGGCACAGCAAGGTGGGAAGTTGGATTCAACCAGGGTTATTTTTTGCTAGATAATTCCATGAAGGGAGAGGGGAAAGTAAGTTGAGGGTTTATACAAGGAAGCAATAATAGTGATGGACTATTGAATCTAAGCCTGGCGAGGAGGGCAGGGAGAAAATGGGGGTGGGGGCAGGGCAGTGAGAGGGGAGAAGCCCTGTAAAAGTGGTAACATCAATGGAATGCAATGGAGTCAAAAACCCAAACCCAAACCCACTGCCATCGAGTTGATTCTGACTCATAGCAACCCTATAGGACAGAGTAGCACTGTCCCATAGAGTTTCCAAGGCATGGCTGGTGGATTCGAATTGCCTACCTTTTGGTTAGCAGCCAAGCTCTTAACCACCTCGCCACGGAGAGGGGGAGAGGGAGATGCCAAGCACATGAAGATTGCCTGGGAGACAAAACTCAGAAGAGACAAGGATTTTCTTCCAGAGCTGACAGAGACAGCCTTCCCGTAGAGCCGGTGCCCTGAATTCTCCTAAACTGTAAGAAAATAAATTTTTGTTTGCTAAAACTTTCCACTTACGCTATTTCTGTTATAGCAGCTCTCGAGAACTAAGACACTGATTTTTCAGAAGTCTATCACCAGACCTTTCTTCGGAGACACCTCGGGTGCACTCAAACCTCCAACCTTTCTGTTAGCAGCTGAGCACATTAACCATTTGCACCACCCAGGGACTTCATTCTGTTGTACATAGGGTTGCTATGAGTCAGAACTGACTTGACAACACCTAATAACAACAGGGATTCCAAAGTTAGAGCACAGCTTTCAGTAACGGTAAGGTCTGGGGCAGTTCCTCACACTGTAATGGGCACAGGCATCACCAAGGCTTCTTGTTGAAACGCAGATATTGATGCTGTTGGTCTGGGCTGGGACCCAAG